TCCTAAGTTTCACATGAGCCTGTAGCAGAAACACATGTGAATTTGGGGAGTGTCTGGGAAGCTGATGAACACATCTGTGTATTGGACCTTTTACTTTGCAAACAAGTGGAAAGGATTTCTTTCTTTTGGCCAGAGTACATCTTTATGTTTTCAAGATTTTAGTTCACTGCACATTGTGTATTTCTTTTTAGTAAGCCTTTCTTTATTGAAAAAGTAATATAGATTCATGTGGAAAACTTAGAAAATAGGCAAAGAGAAAGGAATAAAAGTTGTTTATAGATGAACCACCCAGAGATAATCACTATTATAAATATTTTAGTATAGAAATTAGGGCCTTTATTGATCCACACACAAACATGTACACCCAAAGTACCCCACACAATTATCACATATCCTTTTTAAGCCAAAGTGAGATTATACTATGCTTAATTTTTTTTTACTTCATATATCTTTCCATATCATTAAATATTCAGTTACAAAATTATTTTAATATATGCATATTATTCCATTGTATGAATTTCTATGGTTTATTGAACCAGGTTCCCTTTTAAAAGTCTTTCTCCTTTCTTTTTTATTAATAGTTGTATAAATAAACTACAGTAAACATCCTTATAACCAAGTTTGGTGTACATCCATTATTATTTATTTATGATTAACAATTAGAAATGGAATTATTGAGTCAGAGGGCATGCAGATATTTAAGGGTTTTGATATATATTACCAACTTGTTCTTCAGTGCATTACATTTATTTTTTTAAGATTAATAATCACTAATAAGCAGCAAATTATCAAAAGTAACTGGTAGTAGAAAATACTGTCTGACCATATGGCATAGAATTATTTATAGCAACCCCACTTCTGGGTATACATTCAAAGGAATTGAAATTAGTATGTTGAAGAGAATTCTGTACTCTCATTATCTTTGCAGCATTATTTACAATAGCCAAGTTATTGAAACAACTTAAGTGTCTGAAAACAGATGAATGGATAAATAAAATGTGCCATATCCAATGGAAATTATTCAGCCTTTTTTTTAAAAAAAGAGAAAATCCTGTCATTTGTGACATCATGGATGAACCTGGAGGACTTTTTTTTTTTTAAGTGAAATGAGCCAGAAACAGAAAGATAAATACTGCATCATCTCAACATGTATGTGGGATATTAAAAAAGTGAACTCATAGTGGCTGGAGGGACGGAGAGATGGGGAAGTGTTAATCATAGGGCACAAAGTTTCAATTAGACGGGATGGATATGTTCAGATCTGTTGGTAACTATAGATAATGCATTATACTTGAAAATTGCTAAGAGATCATAAATGTTCTATGACAACAACAACAACAAAATGTGAGTTGATTTGGTTGTGAGTGAATTGGCTTGGTTTAACAATTTCACAATATATGCATATATCCGAACATTACATAGTATAAACAGTATGCAATTTTTGTCAACTCTATTTTAACATATATGAATAACTCAAATTAAAAATAAATTTTAATTAAAAATTATTTATACCCTGACCAGAAATGGGGTCCTAAATTCACATTATGATAATAGCTGTGATAATAGTAGATGACATTTATTTGAGCACTTTCCCAGTGCACCAGGAACTTTTCTAAGCCTTTATATTTAACCTTCAAGATATTCCTGTGAGGAAGGTGCCATTATTACATCATTACCATTATCAGTACCCTTGCCATTACTATTACTGCTATTACTCTCATTTCCTACCTGGGGAAACTGAAGCACAAACAGATGCTTAAAGTTACTCAGCTAGTAAGTGGTAGAGCCAGGAGGCATTCTGGCTCCAACAACCACTGTTAATCACTAAACTCTACTGCCTCTCAGCCTTTATGTTGTATGCTTTCTCATTTTTATGTTTTATAAAAGGGTAAACAAATGTATATGTAGTATAACTTTTTCTGAAAGTCAGTCTCCAAAATTTTGTTTCAATATATGACATCACTAAACAGGTTACAAGACCTGGCCCCTTTAGATTTGCTCTGAGGCAGCTGTATATGAAAGATAAGTAAAATGCAGGTGGGCATTTTTATAGACTCATGCCCATAATCCCAGCACTTTGGAAGACTGAAGCAGGAGGGTGGCTTGAGCCCAGAAATTCAAGAACAGCCTGGGCAACATAGTGAGACCCTGTCTCTACAGAAAATTTAAAACTTAGCTGGGCATGTTGGCATGCATCTGTGTTCTCAGCTTCTTGGGGAGGGTGAGGTGGGAGAATTGCTTGAGCTTGGGAGATTGAAGCTGCAATGAGCCATGATTGCACCACTGTACTCCAGCCTGGGTGATGGAGCAAGACTATCTCAAAAAAAAGAAAAGAAAAGAAAAATGGTATGCATGCCACTTGTTTTCAAGGTGTGGCTTTGGAGAACTAAGGTCATAAAATGTAGTCACATTATTGGATACTCATATCTTATAAAAAATAGTATTAGTGCCATTTTACGCCAGTAAGTTAATATTCCCCATTGTATCACTGAGCCTTAATAGCAGGCATTTTATAAATATTGAAAGAAAGCAAATATTTGGAGAAAAGATCTGTTGTAGTTTTGCTAAAGATGACACATATACAGAGATCCCTGAATTAAATATTTGGGGAAGTGTATCCTGTATTATCTGCACAGTTTATAATAAAATTATGTTCAGTTTGGGGTGTAGCCCTTTGAGGGTTATCAAATGGAGGTCCAAGGAGGATATTGGGATTCTTAAGAATCTTGAATTATGCTAATAACAGGAGACTGGGTTTAGTCTCGAGAGAAGATAATGATCTTCAAATACTAAAAAATTGATTTATACATATGTACATTTTATGTTCCTAATTTTATTTGATTCTCACAAAACCCCTTTAATAGAAGTAGGAAACCATTGTCACCTGGTCAACATGGTGAAACCCCGTCTCTACTAAAAATACAAAAAATTAGCTGGGCATGGTGGTGCATGTCTGTAATCCCAGCTACTCAGGAGGCTGAGGCAGGAGAATTGCCTGAACCCAGAAGGCAGAGGTTGCAATGAGCCGAGATCGTGCCATTGCACTCCAGCCTGGGTAATGAGAGCGAAACTCTGTCTCAAAAAAAAAAAAAGAAAATTGTTCAAAGTCACATGTCAACTAATGAAAGATATTTGAAAAACTGTCCCATAAAGAGGGAATAGACTTAGGCAGCTGAGGACAGAATCGGGATCAGTGGGGAGGTGTTAAAGAAGGCATGTTTTTGATCAGTATAATATTAGAACAAATAACTTCTAACATTTAAGAGAGTGCAGTAGTAAGTAAGCTACCTCAGTACTACTCACAGTTGAATGATGTCATCCATTGGTCAGGAATGTCATTAGGAGGATGGGTCATCTAGATGATGTTGCTGATTATTCTTTTTAGAGACAGTCTTGCTCTGTTGCCCAGGCTAGACAGGCTTAAGCACAGTGACATAATAATCGCTCACTGCAGCCTTGAATTCCTGGGCTGAAGCAATCCTCCCTCCTCAGCCTCCCAAGTAGCTGGGGCTACAGGTGTGTGCCACAGGAACATGCTAATTTTTCTATTTTTGTAGAGATGTGGTCTTGCTGTGTTGCCCAGGCTGGTCTCAAATTCCTGGCCTCAAGCAATCCTCCTGCCTCAGCTGCCTAAAGTGCTGGGATTACAGGTGGGAGCCACTGTGCCCAGCCTCACCTAGATGATTCTTAAGGTTCTAACACTAAATTCTGTGATTAAGTTTTCAATTTCATCTTTTGATACTACTCTTCCTAAACCTTTTATTATAGCTGGGACTGGACAGCTTATATCAGCCAGTTGTATATGCATTTGTATCTCCTTGATATCCTCTCCTTCACCCTTCTTTTAGTTAATTCACATTTCAGCTATTCTTTAAAATCTAAATCAGATATCTTCTCAGTTTTATAGCCAAATGTGTCCAACCTGCAATCCACCCACTGCTTCTAACATTACTATACAGAATGTGTCCTTAATGAACGTTGGTTATTTGTTGAATGAATGAAAATTTTTCTCACCATCCCACTGTGATTTCACTTCTCACTCAATTCTTACAGTTCTTGTTGCTACCAGTCATTTCACACCAAATTTTCTTTTAATTACCTTTATGAAAAATTACCATGCAGTGTAAAATTTGTAATAATAAAAATAAATTCAAGAAATACTGCATTTTTTATGTAGCTGATACACTTTTCTCTACAGTTAGTTGTATTTTCTAGTTATGTTTTTCTCACAGAATATTTGTTATAAAAGGAATCTACACAACCTGTTTGTGCTCTCTCTGTCATCAAGAGGACTGAGGAGTGACCACAGAACTAAATTCCCTTTGAACCGTTTTCTTGAAAACTCCATAAGTGTTTTGTAGTCTCATAGTTTCTTTTGACAGCTTCCTTTTCCCTCCCTGCATGGGAGGCTCAAGGTTCTGCACTCTACCACCCTCCCTCAGACTTCTCTGCTAAGGCTGAGTCCCCAAGGCCATGGGGCAGGAACCCTTTTAGACCTCGCCTCCCCTTGGAGCTCTATCAGTTTTTCCTTTATATGTATTGAGGCCAAAAGCTTATATGCTCATGGTGAGTTGAACATTTTATCATTGTGAAGTGACCAAGTGACCAAACTAGCCTTCCTTCACTAGGATAAATCCCCCTTGGTGCCTGTAAACCCTGCACTTTGGGAGGTCCAACGTGGGCAGATTATTTGAACTCAGGAGTTCAAGACCAGCCTGGGCAACATGGTGAAACCCTGTCTCTACAAAAATAACACAAAAACATTTAGCCCTACATGGTGGTGCATACCTGTGGTCTGAGCCACTGGGGAGGCTGACAAGAGAGAGGATTGCCTGAGCCCAGGAGGAGGAGGTTGTAGTGAGCCAAGACCATGTTATGGCACTCCAGGCTGGGTGAGAGTGAGACTCCACCTCCAAAAAACATTTTTTTAAAAAGTCATATACAAAGAAAAAGTATCTAAACATTCAGCTGAATATATTTTGTCTTACTTGGATTTTCAGGTTTCATTGGAATGAGGTGGAAGCTGAATTGCTATTTCTGGAAATCAGAGAAAAGAAGGATGAAAGAAAACCTTTCAAACTACATTTTCAATGAAGCAAAGGAATAAGAGAAGACATGCTGTATTATTGCAGGTAAAACCCATATCTATTAAGAGCGCACAGTGTGTATTTTGTGTGTGTGTGTGTGTGTGTGTGTGCGTGTGTATTTGGGGTGTGTATGTTTGTATACATGATACATATACAATGCAATATTTTTCAGCCATAAAAAAAGAAGGAAACCCTGTCATTTCTGATAATAAGGATGAACCTGGAAAACATTATGCCAAGGAAAATAAGCCAGACACAGAACAAGTACTACATGATCTCACTTATATATGGAAACTAAAAATTAATTCATAGAAGCAGAGAGTAGAATAGTGGCTACCAGAGGAGGAATGGGAGGTGGGGAATGAGGAGATCTTGGTCAAAGGATACAGAGCTTCAGTTATGTAGAATGAATTGTAACAGAGTGCCCCCATTTTTCCTAAGATAAAAGGAATGAGTTATGGTTATTATTATTATTTTTCTTCTCTTCTTGTCTCCCCTTTCCCCATGTTCTCTATTTCCTTCATAGCCCTTCAGAAGTGCAAACATATCTTTTCACCTCGCCATCACTAGACATATTCTTCAGGGAAGTTTATTCCGTGTGTTTCAAGATAGATCTCTCCTCAGGAGTGCACAGTTGATTTGCAGATCCAAGCATATTCATCACAGAACTTCCACTGTCCAGGGGTCACCTCAAATCTTTTTTTTTGAGACGGAGTTTCACTGTTGTTACCCAGACTGGAGTGCAATGGTACGATCTCGGCTCACTGCAACCTCCGCCTTCTGGGTTCAAGCAATTCTCCTGCCTCAGCCTCCCGAGTAGCTGGGATTACAGGCACACGCCACCATGCCCAGCTAACACCTCAAATCTTACACCCACTAAGAGGGCATGTCAAAAGCATGCCCACCCGGTCACTTTTACAACTTATTCTGGCCAGAAACACACTACTTGACTGCCCAGTGGATAACCCCTGGGGAGCAGAGAGACCTTCTGTTTTTGCTCATTTTCACCTTTAACTTACAAAAGTACACTTTTTGCTCCAAAGGTGAAGTGTTGCATTTAAAGCAGAACACATTATGCTTCTTCCCTCAAGCTAACTCAGAAAATAAATTCACCTTTTTTTTTTTTTTTTTTTGTGCCAGGCCTCACATTTAATTGAACTCTGCATGTGGTGAGCGACTAACCTGCTTTTGGTTATACAGTGAGTTTTAGAGACCTAATGTGCAGCAGGGGACTATTGTTCATGATGTATTGTATACTTGGAGTTTGCTAAAAGAGTAGATTGTGTGTTCTCACTACTATAAAAAAAAGAAACTATGTGAAGAGGTGGATATGCTAATTAGCTTGAATGTGGCCATTAGTTTATAATGTAGATGTAAAAACATCATGTTGTAGGCCTTAAATATATACAATTTTAAGAAAATTTTTAAAAAGATTCCTTTAAGCAAGCATTTACAGTAGCATCAAAACATTAAAACTATATGGCAAAGGATGTAGAAGCCTATACACTGAAGACTACAGAATATTGCTGGGAGCAATTAAATATCTTTGGAATAGGAGGTATTCATTCTCTCGTTTTTCAAGAGTGTTTTTTCTATTTGGGGATACTTGCAATTTATTTGAATAAGAAGTTCTTCTTTGTACTTTCTGGAAAAAAAATAGGCCACTGGAATTTGAATAAGATTCCATTTAATCTGTAGATTGCTTGGAGTGGTATTTCCATGTTAGTGATATTAAATTTTCCAACCCATGGACACAGTATATTTTTCCATTTATTTAGTTCTTCTATGATCTTTTAATGCAATGTTATGTAGTTTTCAGTGTACAAGTATTTCACCTTCTTAAATTTATTCCTAGGTATGTTATTCTTATGGGCACTATTATAAATGAAATGTATTAATTTTCCTTGAAGATTTTTCATTGCTAGCACAACTAGTTTTTGTCTGTTTATCTTGTCTGCTGCAAGGTTGCTGAATTAGTTTATTAACTCCAGTAATTGTGTGTGTGTGTGTGTGTGTGTGTGTGTGTGTGTATTTAGTATTTTCTCTCTAAAGGGTCATGTCACCTGCAAATGGAGCTAATTTTATTTTCAAAACATTTTTGCTCATCTTTATTTTTGAAAGATGTTTTGACTGGCTATAGAATTCTAGGTTGACAGTTTTTTCTTTTTTCAGTACTTAAAGCTCTTGTAAACTTCTTGTTTGTAATGGTTCTGATGAGAAATTGAATGTCATTCTTACAGTTAGTCCTCTGTATGTAATATGTCCTTTCACCTTTTATTCCTCTTAGGATTTTCTCTTCATACACTGGTTTTGATCAATTTGAGTAATGTGGTCCTCCATGTAGTTTTCTTCATCTTTCTTGTTCTTAAGATACATTGTTTCTCGGATATTTGGAATTTGTGGTTTTCATGAAGCTTAGAAAGCTCTCATCCAGTATGTTTTAAATATTTTTCAATCCCTTTTACCCACTCCATTCCCTTCAGGGATTCCATTTACCCTTACAGAAGGGTGTTTAAAGATTTCCCACTGATGATGGGCTTTTTACTTTTATAGATGGATTTTTCTCTGTCTGTTTCATTTATGTTAGTTTCTACTGCTATTTCTTCTAGTTCATTAATCTTTTCTTCTGCAAAATTTAATTCAGTGTATTTTTAAAATTTCAGACTGTAAACTGTAGTTTCCACTTCTGGAATTTGATATTTAAAAATATCTCCAACATCTTCACTTAGATAAAATTATAATAACTGCTCTAATATCCTTGTCTTCTAACATGTATGTCATTTTCAACTGAATTATTACATTCTTCATGATGTCGCATGTTTTCCTTCCTCTTTGCCTGTTGGAGATTCTGATGTTTGATGCCAGACATTTGATGTTGATGCCCAAATGTGCCCAATGACACAACGTGGTGTTTCTATGCACACCCAAGTTTGTGCAGCAGGAGAGGTAGAGAGATAGAAGAATCATGGACAAAGGAAGCATCCTCTGGAGACTTACAGTGAAGAGAATGAATGAAGTAACTGGCAGAAACTACAAGTCCTGGTAGAGCAAAATAGAATCCCAGGATGAGAACATATACCATGCATGTCCCCCAAAGCAAGAAAATATTTCCTAAAATCTCAAGAAAAATTACTTTTGGCTCATACCTTATATCAAGTGAGGTGATCCATTTACCCAGGCAATGGGAGAAGTTTGTTAAGGCTGCAGAACTCAGAGAGAACTGATTCTCTCATGAGGACATTGTGAAGGTTTAATGCTACTCAGTAAGTGATGCCTAGGACATGAATTTTGAATAGCTCATAAGCATCAACATATTTAATTGTGAATCTAAACCAAAAACCAAGGTGAGGACAAGGTAGGAGACATTGACTGCCACTGGCATATGTTTGGGTTGAAACAACACTATCAGAAATGGCAGGTAAATAGATCAGATAAAAGGAAAATAATGTCTTTGTCATATTTAAAATGTATAATCCAACTATTAGAAATGTGTCAGGTTAAAAGGAGACTAGTGATGTCAAAACCTTTTTAGTGCAATGTTAAACAGAAGCTGTACAAGCCTTCCTAAATAACAAAGAAAAGTCATACACACACACACACACACACACACACACACACACACAAAGAAAACCACACTGACAAAGAAATACAGTAAATACAATCTACTACATATGATGAATATAGAGTAAAATATGGAAGAGTTTAGAATATAAACAGGGAAATAAGAATGTTTTTATTAATCTATATCTTTATCCATGAAAACCAATCATAAAACAAAACCTTAAAACATTGTATGTAAAAAATCCACTAGTCCAGAGTGATTGTCAAAAAAATTTAATTAAAGACATTTAAAACTTAAACTTTTTAGCTTTAATAGACTAAAATTAATTTTGGATACAAGTTAAAATTTGAGGATAGAATATTCTTTTTTATGACAGAATGCCAGCAAAAGCAAATGTGTAGTAAACTTTTGAGAAAGACAATTTCCAATATAAAAACATAAATTTAATAACTGATACAGGCAGGGTTGATTAATTGATGATAAAATGCTCAGAGCAAGATTGTTAGAATACAAGGTATCAATACTTTTTCAAACTACTTTCCAAATTAATTATAAATAAGATGTTATTACAAGTGACAGAGTTCCTAGACTTTTCCTTAACCAAGTGACCATCCTAGTATCACTAGAATAGCGATGAACACACTGGACCTTCTTTGCCCACAGATGGGCTGAAGTAGGAAGCTCACAGCATGACTCTGCAGTGTTCCTGACAACATGTTTAGGCTGAATTTAATCATGAGGATATTTTCAGGCAACTTCAGAATAAAGACCTTTGAACCAGACAGCTGACCTGTTTTCTACAAACAAGTCCATGTCACCACCATCAATGACAACAACCAAAAGAGGAAGAGATGTTTGGTGTTCAAAATGACTAAAAAAGATAAGCTGCATAGTTTTTACTCGTTTTGATCCCAAAATGTCTCTTCTGCCTTTTTGTTTGTTCTTGTTGGTGACATGGATTGTTTGAAGGAGACAGGGCAGTTGTCCTGTTCAATATTCTACATTCTGCAATTGCCTGAGGATTACCTCCTATGAAATTCAGACTAAACATTTTCAGCAAGAACATGGCATTGTTCATACTCTACCGGCAGAGTCCCGGGTGACATGCTGTCTCCTGCCAGTGGCTCCGCACTTCTGTTCTCTACAGGATGGGAATTGGGAGGAGCAGGGCTAAGGCTTGTCATTGCTGTGTGTCCATCTGAGAATTTGTCTCTCTAGGTATTGATCACAATTGGACTAGGATAGACTGTGGCTTCTCAAATCAAGCCTAGTGTGTTGAAATCATCAAGAGCATTCTGTGGTCTAAAATTCAATCCTCAGCGAAGGATCCCTGCAGTGTCATTGTGTTTGGACTTGAACTTGCTTTGCTGTTTTAGTTTTTTCTCATCAAGTGGAAAACCTACTTTTTTTGTGACATCCTTTCATTCTTTGCATCCTTCCTGCAGTATTTGGTGTTTAACTTTGGTAAGTGCTTCCTAATTCC